TTGGTACTTTACACTTCCTATTTCCTGCTTCCTGTTTCTCACCATAAATCTTTAACTAACCAATTAGTAACCTCTTATTTGCTGTTGTTCCAGTTTGTCATGCCCTGCGCCTTTGGAAGATATTGTTTCAAAAACAGACATTAAATATACATGACCTTTTCAGGATGAGAGCTGGAATATATTATTTAGTGGAGAGAGGATATTACAGCTGTTCCCTCCCTGGGTCGGATGGATCAAGCCAAGAAGTTATGGTTGATACAATTGATGGAGACTATGATGGAGTTCATGGCTGGAGAAACCACAAGGGATGAATATTGAACATTGAAATGCAGCTCCTCTTATCACGTCTCTAAAAAGTCATTAATGAAACCGTTAAACTTAGGAAATGCCCACAGATGAGGTGTTAGATGAGAAGACCATTTCATGTTTTTTTTAAGGCCAAGAGACAGTTAGCTATGCTGGGTATAAAGACTGAAAACGTTAGCCTGGCTCTGTCCAAAGGTTAACAAACCATTTAAAAACAACTCTGAAAGCCCACTCACTAATTAACATGTCATTTCTTAGTTGTTTATGCCGTTTGAATAATTTATTGAAATATTTTTTGTATATCAGTCCCCTCTTGCTGACAACAACTGTTCCCATCAACAAACTATTTCTCCCTGTGATCTGCCTAAAACCGAAAATGTTTTTGTTTTTGTATGTCCTTGTACGATATTGAATTAGTTAGCCATAAAGGTGGTATCAGTTTTTTTTTTACTTTGGACAGGGCTACACTAGGTGTTTCCCAATGTCTCCAGTCTGTATGGAAAGCTAACCATCTGCTGACAGTATCCTCATATTTACTGTACCGACTTAAGAGTGGTATTGATTTCCTTATCTAACTCGGTCACAATGAGATAAGCTTGTTTCACAAAATGTCTTTCTTTAAAGCCAATTCACATCAGTCAATATGGCTGTATGTAGTTAACAGCCGAGTTTGGCTCCATAAACTCTACATGTTTGTAAATATGACTTGTATAACTTCTGAAATGTAGCACATTGTAAATCAGGAAACATTTATTAGCACAAACATCCAGGCAGATGTGATCACACTGTCTGATCCTTGGTTTCTATCTCATGGTGTGTTCTTGGGATGATCACAAGGACATGCCGTCCTTTACAAGTCCAGTCTGCATACAAACACCCACTCAGTAGTTGTTGAAAGACCCACTCAGTAGTTGTTGAAAGGAGCATTTCTCACATGTGCATCACAACTTCTCAAGATGTCACTTTGTGATTTGCAAGGTTTGCAGTCGTATGTCATGGCCTCCACGTACTCCTGGCCCCTAAAGAGCAGAAGTGAAGAACACTGAGTCAGTAGATGAGTGTCCGACTCACGTCTCAATTATTCCCTGCACTGTAGTGCCGAGTCATCGTTTAGACAAGTTTTTACCAACGGCCAAGATTGCTTTTGGGACAGGGATGCAATATGGTCCAGAGCAATCTATCCTTGTGTCAATATGTCAAAACACCATCATTCCTTTTTATAATGCAGCTGATTGTTAGTGCATAGCCTCTCTGTTTGCACTCCATTTATCTGATAGTATTGGGAGTCTTTCCCAGAAGTTTGTGTTATCATGGAGGATTAATAGTAGACTAGGTGATCCATACTGAAAAACATGATGTATAATACATAGGTTGTATTGGGAAATAAACTGTTTCTTATGCAGGATCTTCCACTTAAGGGATGATTTAAGGTCCACGGCTGCTACGTGACAACCATAAAGAGAAATTCTTGTTTCTGTTTTTATGTACTTCTAATGTCTCTGTGTTTTCAAGTAAATCATAAGAAGAGGTATGAAATGAAAGATGAAATAAAATGGGGCAAAATGTAATAAAACAATACAAATACAATTTATCTATCTATTGAGGAAAAAGCTTTGAGTCATGTACTGTATGGAAGTGTTGGAAAGCTCAATATGCTTAAATAAGAAAGGAATCACAACAACAACAACCAACATATCATCCTTTGGGATAATGGATCATGCATTGATGTTCAAGATTGGTCACCGCAATGTATTTGCCGGAAATTGTTGCATTGTGTTTCATCAAGACTTGAGACTGTTTCCACTATTTCGCCACCGCAGAAAAGACCTCAACATTTCTGCAGTGAATGTACATTTCTACTTCCCTGAAAGTCAATCGTTCATATTCTGAGCAGCATCACTCCAACAAAGTGGAGCTATGAATTTGTTATTATATTAAAGGCATTTAACCAACAGTGAGTAAGAGTAATTGCTCTTCAATTATAAATTGTGTTTTTAATCATAGAAGGCTGGCACTCACTCCAATCTACTAATTGCTTTATCCCTGAAGGCATCCACTCACACCAAAGTGATAAGACTGCTGATGAAGCACACATAACCTTTACATGGGTATAGATGATGGTATATAAATACAATATCGTCACCTTCTTAAACTAATGGCCTAAGTCATATTTGAAAGTTTTTCAAAAAACTGAACCAAATATAGAATATATGATATATATTAATTATTTCACACAAAAAGGTTATGACAATATATGACTATTGACATACAAATAACACTGTCTATCAATTGTGTAAAATAAGAGGATTAGATGACTTAGGCCAATTTACGAACATGTTGTTGTGACTTAGGCAATCTTAAACCTGACTTAGGCCTTATTACTTCTGGAGTAAGTGAGTTAGGCAAAACAGTGCACTTCTCTTTTCTGCATTACTGTGACAGACCATGGGGCTGGGTCAGCCACTAACAGTTTAAAATGCTAGAAGAGCATACCAGAGACTCAGAGGGCAGTTTGGGTTGGTCATTTAATTCAATATAGCAAACTCAAAAGGTACAACTTAAATCACTCTTAGCTAAATAAAACAAAAGGCAAGTAAATCAAACGCTGAGGAGGCATGTGCCTCTCCTCACTATTCCCTCCAGCTCTTCTTTGCTGTGTTTTGAATTGCAGCTAACCCTTTTCCATTTAAAGGTCCCATGTCATGGCCATTTCTACTGATCATAATTCCATTGTTGAGGTCTACTAAGAGAAGATTCTTACATTGTTCAATGTTCCAAACTCACATTGGTTTTCTCACCAGAGCATCTCTGTAAGTATGTGTATTCACTTCCTGTCCTACACGCCTTGTTGAGTCTGCCCTTCCACCCCCCCCCTCCCTATGAGCCCACTGTCTACTGATGTGTGATTATTATGTGTTACAATGGCGTTTGTTAGCCAACCAGAAATGAGAAACAGATGAGAATGCTGCGTGGGGTCTGGGTGCCGTGTTGGCGAGACGTTGCAGGGGCTCGCTGCTCCGCCCTTTGAGACGTCGAGGAGCCGACAGTGTGAGCGGNTTCAAATTGCCTAAGTCACAACAACATGTTCGTAATTGGCCTAAGTAATCTAATCCTCTTATTTTACACAATTGACAGACAGTGTTATTTGTACGTCAATAGTCATATATTGTCATAACCTTTTTGTGTGAAATAATTAATATATATCATATATTCTATATTTGGTTCAGTTTTTTGAAAAACTTTAAAACATGACTTAGGCCATTAGTTTAAGAAGATGACAAAATTCAATTTCCTACCAGCACTTTCCAGTCATGTTGACTGCCTGCATGGTTGATTCTGGAATATGTATTCATAGCAAAGAGAGGTAAAATAACTGTTTCCCACCCTGGATACTGTCCAAGCAACAACTGTCCAAACAACTATATTTTCCGTACTCATACTTATTCTACAGTATATTGCAGTGAAAAAACTGAACCGTTGACTTTAATTAAATGTATTTCGTCAACAAATGTCACATAACTGTATTAGGTTAGTAGTTCAAAGCAATAATATTAATTTGAACATTATATTTTGTATTTAAACTTAATATCATGGCTTTCAACTAACCTAATACAGTTATGTGGAACATGTGGGACATAATACATTCAATTAAAGTCAACGTTTCAGGTTTTACAGTGTGTGTTATTCTGTCTCATTTATACATGAATACAGTGTTTTCTTTTTTCTGTACTGCTGTTATACTGCTTTAGACTGTTCATAATGTAAATACTTTCAGTTATATATTATATATTTATATTGTATCATGAATAACTGTGCACTTTACTACTGTTTTGCACTTCTGGTTAGATACTAACTGCATTTCCTTGTCTTATACTCAACAATGACAATAAAGTTGAATATAATCTGATCCCATGGAAGCTGACACGATACGGATGGTGGATGTGTTTGAAATGTGCAGGTATTACATTTCTGCGTAGTGTCAGCCTTTTCTAAGTGACCTTCACAGTGAGCAGGGGTCTCAGGTGTGTCTCAGGGGTTCACCAGCATGCATGTGAGCTCATCAGAGGTCATGTAATGCAAGAGAGCCAAGTCACAAGTTACTGTGGGAGGGGGGGGGGACCACAACATGAGCAAACAACAAATGGAACACCTCTTCCACTGCAGATTCATTCAAGACATCAAGCTTTCCATGTGCTGAAAGTCCTTTGTTTTTAACATGGAGGCTTATTTCATTCAGAATCTTCTTTTTTCAAATGCTATTAAAATCCATTACTGTGAGCCTATTGTGCATCAGGAATATGAAATGAAAATATCACTCACATCTCAAATGACCCATGGCCAAAACTAAATATGACTCCAAGCACTTATATAATCACATTTGTTTTGAAGATGAGTGTACAATCACTCTGATTTCAACCAAAATACATAAAACCAAAATGGATTCCACTTCAGAACAATATTCATGCCGCCGTGGTAGAAATGGAAATCAAGCAAGTGCATGTCATCAGCTCATCAGAGGACGAAAAAAGAGGAGAGTGGGGGAGGGAAAGAAGAGCAGTGAGGAGAGAAGAAGGAGAGATGGAGGAAACCATGGTTATCAGGGAAGGATGGAGGAAGGATGGTGTACAGCGGAGACCTGAGAGGGGTCAGGACTGTGCGGTGAACAGCAGGATGGGAGCATGGAGACAGATTACCTGCAGGAGAGGCTGCTGTCGGTCTGGATGCTGCAGCCTGGATCTTCAGAGCAGGAGAATCAGAGCCTAAACCTCCCGAGCAGCAGCAGCTACACTCATTCCAGGGGAAAGAGAGAAAATCAGGGAGGTAAAGATGGTCGCTGCTTCGGTCTGTATCCCTTCCCTCACCCGTTAGCCCACAGCCTCCCTTGTCTGTCCTCCCACAGCCCGTTGTTTTCCAATCAATAGGCAGCCAGCAGCTCACAGAGCCTGCGCACAGCCTCTGACGATATCACCCCCCTCATCCCTCTGCATTCTCTCTTTGTCCCTGCCGCCTCCCTCCCTCCCTGCATGCATTCATTCCCCATTCATGAGAACAGGAGGAGGAGCAGGTTTGGGGGAAGGAGATGTTTCTGGAGCAAGGTAGCACAATGTTTACCTTGTCCAATAAATCCTGTTTCTGCTTCCGTCTACTTGATGATTCAGACAGGGATGACGTATCCACAAGAGAAGGTATAATTCCTGACTGAATGTTTAGATCATGAAATCAAGATGGTATTCTCCTGGAAAGCCTGCATTTCTTTCTTAATTTTGAAACAACAAAGCAGAACATGTCAGAAAACCATACTGCTGTTCAAGCGTGTGCAAATACAAATCAGAGCAAAAACATCATCATCCCGCGGCCTGTCCACTCACACAACAACACAGGAGCATTTCAAACAGTAGAAAATGGGAGGAACACTCAAATAGATTTACAGGAAATACAGCTGCTGAAGTAACTTCAATCATAAGAATGATGTAACTTAAATGTAAATTGTTGTAATACTTTCGATAGAAAACATTCCTAGTGATTTTGTATCTATTGAAAAAGTAGGGGGATAAACAAACATCAAGCTAAACATACAGCAATGAAAGTGCAGCAAACATTTTTGTTGTACTTGTATAATTCCAATAAATGCTTCTAATCTAATCTAATATACACGGCAATTTAGAATTGTATTCATATAATTCGGAGAGAATAAAGATTAAGCTATACAATGAGTTTTAGAAGAGACAAGCTTTACACTACATCATTCCACATACAGTATTCAAAGTGAAATCAGACACAAAGTGTAAACTGCAGGAAAAACAAAAATATGAAAGTTGAAACACAGAATATAATTGTGTTGAAATTCAGTAAAATATCAATAAGACAATACAGTATATAACTAATGGAAAATGCCAAATATTGTGAATTTGATGTTGGCCCCTCCCTCCTTCACAGCATGTGCTCTAAAATCTGCATAGTCCTGTTTTTAAATCTGTGCTGGGGATTTACACCTCATGTCTGAAAGCCTGTTTAAAAACATGTACTCACATCAGAGCCTGTGTTATTATCACACCCAGAGTCACTCAGGAAACACTGAGAGGACATCCAGCTCTCAGATGGGAGCAGATTTGACAGATTAATCTTTGTACACTGTGCCTGATGGGTTCGACAGAATTGAGAAAGTAAGCCGGGTGTCAGTGAAGACATTTCCCAAACAGATTTAAAGCAGTTTGTATAATCTTGGATGTGGCTCAGGGGTAAATGGGTTTCTACTAGGGCCGGGACTTTAACGCGTTAATTAAGATTAATTAATTACACAAAAATTAACGCATTTTAATCGCACTTATTTTTGCACCGCGGAACGTTTCTCACTGGATGAGTTTCAGGGGTACCGATTATACTGGAGCACCAACTAACGTTCATGACTTCAGACAACAACAAACCACAGTGAACAATAGTCAAACATGAACGAAGAAGCTGATGAGACCGCTTTGGTTGGCCCCGTGGATGAGACATTTTGTTTTAAAAAACGGACGGATGGAAGCGTCAATAAGAGCACGGTTGTTTGCAAATTATGCAAAAAGGAATTCGCATATCACCGCAGCACATCAAGCCTCAAGTATCACCTCAATGCAAAACATATAGCAGCTAGCGTGGAAGCTAGCGTGGACGTTAGCCCGACTCGGAGTACAAGGACCCACACCCAATTCGCGTTGATCAAACAGTGGCCTATGCAACAGAGAGATTTTATTTTTCATCAGGATATTGGAAGAATAGGAGGGATTGAGGTCAATCACTGGCACTTTTTTATTTTATTTTAAATGGTACACTTTATGTTGAACTATTTATTACGTTGTTGGTGCAACTGGCACTTTATGTTGAACGGTTTATTGTTTTGGCCAAGGTTATTGAGAGAGTTGGACTGAAATTGATTAGATTTTTTAAATCAACTGTTGGTAAATCAACAAAGTCTGTTATGGCCTCTGAAGCAACAGAGAGATGTTTTCTAATAGTCAGGGTTTCCAATCTTCTGAATGTACTTGAAAGTATTGTGTTTTACTTAAAAAACAAAGTGTTATAGTTTACAGAAGGTCTACCTACCTATAGGCTACCTGAATCTCTGAAATGTACTATATTCCTAAATATGCTATTGTACACTTTATGGCAAAAATTGCACTTTTCTGTTGGTCTTGGTTAAGTACCACCTTGAAAAAAATAAACAATGTTTTGTTGCTTAAGCTTATGTATTCAGTCATTATTCAATGGTATACTAAAATCCATGCGAAAAAAATTGCTTCTCACTGTTCTCAGGTCAAATATTTAAATGTGATTAAAAATGCGATTAATTTCGATTAATTAATTACAAAGCCTCTAATTAATTAGATTAATTTTTTTAATCGAGTCCCGGCCCTAGTTTCTACCAATCCGAGGGTCATTGGTTTGACCCCCCCCCCTGCAGTCAACATGTTGAAAGGACCTTGGCCAAGATATGTAACCCCAAAATTGCCCCCATAAGCATTGCACCGAAAAATGTGTCGACATGTATTATGTCGACACATTTCACATAACTGTATTAGGTTTGTTGAAAGCAATAATATTTATTTATTATATTATTAGTAATATTAGGTTCAACTTAAAACTCTGCTCTCAACTAACCTATGTGAAATTAGTTGACATAATACATTTAATTAAAGTCAAGGTTTCAGTTTTTTCAGTGTGGTACTGAAGTGTGTGAAAGTCGCTTTGGATAAGCTAAATGGAGTGTAATGATGTTTTGGGACCTTTTTTGGAAAGCTAACAAAATGTCATGTTTGTGTACACTCCAAACAGGATAAGCAGGGCATAACTAAGGATTTGCTTGAAATCATGTTGTTGTCCTCACAAAAAAGACACCATGAATCTTACAAATTGGCAAGGAGACAAAAGAGAGGCTGCAGGGCTCACTGATCACATGACGTCAGAGCCGGAGCTGCTGGGAATACCTGCCTGCTTCAAGATGCTAAACGCTCTGGAAATGAAATCTGACACCACAGAACATTCACTCAACCACATATTGGTAAACGGACACACACAAGCACACACACAACATGCAGGACATGTATTCCTACATTTCATCATCATTAGTGGGAAACGCTATATTGAAAGTATTTTGACCAACTGCTCTCTGCTGCTTCTTCCCACACAACAAGAGAAAGAGAAGAGAAAGGACCGAGGCCTCCCATCACTACGGCAACATGGCTCACACAGCCCGGCATCGCACAGACGCTGGTTGCCATGGTTATAGCGTAATTACTTCACTATCGACAGCAGAGGGAATTTAGTAGCACTTTCAACTACTGTTACCATTAGTAGAGTCCGCTGTGGAGGGTTTTACTGAGGAGCTGCGTACAGTATGTGGCCTGATGATTTCAGCTTATTAACAGCAGACTGTGCGTAGTGAAAATGTTTGATTTGTGTCTATAGTTTCCTGTTTTATTTTGACATTTATTTTCAAAATAAATGGGTTCCTTCCTGAAAATTACATTAGTAATCCTTAGGGTTGCAAAATTCCGGGAATTTTCAAAGATGGAAACTTTCCATTGGAATTTATGGGAATAAACTGGGAATTTTCTAAATTGAAGGCTGGCTCTTCATAGGGAACTTAAATATAGTTGAATATCCATGCCACTGCTTACTGTATGGCTATTGAGACCACACCCCCTACAGGCACTGTGCATTCCTCCATCACATGCACAGATGAGTAATATTTAACTCAACATTCCTGTTTTCTTTCTTCAATGAAACAATAAATAAATAATTAAAAATGTTCTACTTAAAAAAATTCAAAGATCTGTTGAAATGTCATGCTTTTTGTCTAATTTTGCATCAAATATTTCCAAAATTCCCCAGCTTAACTTCCCATGGAAACTTTCCGGAAATTTACCGGAAATGTTCCGCCCCTTTGCAACCCTAGTAATCCTCCTCCTGTGTTTTCGCTCCTGTGTCTGATTGTGTTCACCTGCAGCCCCTGTGATACCCCTCCCCTGCTGTGTCTTGTCTTGTCATGAGTCTTGTGTGTACTTAGTCCTGTCTTTCCTAGTGTTCTCTGTCGGTTTGTTGTCAGTACTGAGTGTTCCTGTCTGTTATTCTCCTGTGATTCTACCTCGTGCTCCCTGGTTTGTCTGTGTTTCTCTTGGTTATGAATTAAAGCTCATTTTTGGTAAAGACTCTTCCATCTAATTTTTTAACTGCACCTGGGTCCTCCTTCCTGCTAAACCCTCACAGAACGAACCGACCAAGATATGGACCCAGCAGTTTTTGCGTTTGACCAATAGCTTTATGAACTAATGTACACTCTGGAAAGCATTTTAGGAGACTGGAGTAGGGCCTCATTAAGAGAGGCCAAAGTGGCTGCCCTTAATAGGGCACGTATGGAACTAACAAGCCATCGCTAAAGAGCTTGTTGCCCGACTGGCTCAGAATATTCTCTGGCAGCCCTGAGCTTTCCTGGGGTCCCACTTGGCCCTGGGAGGTCCTCGAAGCCTGTGCGCCAGTCTCCAAGGCCTCATGGAAGGAGAGGCGAGGCTCAGCGCACCAGAGCTAAGAGCCCAGTGTCAGGGGCCCCAGCAGCCACGCTTCCAGTGGGGCCCCAGCACAGCAGCGGGGCCCCAGCAGCCACGCTTCCAGTGGGGCCCCAGCAGCCACGCTTCCAGTGTCTCCTCTCCTGTCCCGTCGGGGGTCCTGCCGTCACCAGCTCCTGTCAAAAAAATGTCATCCCATCTTGTTTTATGAATATGAGCTCGATTCATAGGGTTAGTAGATTCCACTTTTAAAAAAATACTTTTTCAACATGGAACATTTATTTTTTTACCTTAAAGTGGACCTATCATGATATATTTGAATAATATATTGTAGGGCCATACCTATATAAAACATGTCAAACCAAACAG